CTGCTGAGCAGGCAGCAGCTGGCAGTTCCTCATGCTGTTCATAAGGCACTTTATGTCTCTTTTTGCTGATGACTTCAAGTGAACACAAGGGATGGTTCTTTGGCTGATTTTTAGATGATTCCTCCCCAAAATAAGATGTATAAGCCTCAACTCCCAAACTTTCAACAGACTTCTTCTTTAAGTCAGCGTTGTCCTTACTTAACTCTTTTACACAAAGGGACCTCATTCCTCTGAAGGGCTGATACTTCAAATGTGAATTACTCTGCTCCTTGGAGCTCTCCTCAACAGCACCCTCCTCCCCTGCTAAAATATCAGCTAGCACATCTTCAGGACAGATGGGGTTTTTTTTAATTGCAGGGTGAAATTTAGAAAGTTTTGGTTTATTCACAGTATTATCCTTGGGATTATCTTCAATGCTGGACTGACAAGGACTCTGTTCACTGCCTGACCCCTCTACAGGTGTCCCAGTGTTTTCTGTAGCCAATGCTTTTAAGTCATCCAAGGTAAGGTCTAAGCGGTAACAGTTTTGCATCATAGTCTCATAATCAGAGCTGATTTCAGACTTTGAACAAGAGCTGTCACTATCACATGTTTCTGTTGTACTGTTGGCTGCTGTACTCCGCAAGGCAGCAATTCTGGATTTTTTAACTTTCCCTTTTCTTTCAATGTGTTTTTCTTTTAAACTGCGTAGTTTCAGTGAGGAGCTATTTACCAAACCACTTTTTTTTTTAACTGGTATTTCTTTATTTTTCACCCTCCCCTGTTTAGAGTCTTCCGAAATTTTACTTTCAGAAATAATTTCATCAGTATCTGCTGAATCATAACCATTATCACATTCCACTGTCTCTTTCTCTTTGGTACTTCCTTTGATAGCTTTCGTCACGGTATCCGAATTGCTTAAGGACCAGTGGCTACTGTATTTTAATTCAAAATTATCCCCAACAATTTCCAAGTGCTCACTTTCAGTCTCAACATTTTCAACTTTTTGTCTTTCTGCTTCTTTCTTTACCATTGCTCTGATCTCCTCTTCAGAATCAATATCACTATCAGGAACACTGTTATTACTTTTGGCTGTAACTCCATTAGCATTTTTAGATATTTTCCCATCCAGTCTTCTTGCTGGAGACAATTTCAACCCCTCACCAGGTTTAGGTTTTGATCTTTGTTTGAGCTGGGTTGAGTCTGTGTGTTTTGGAGGACAGAGGACAGAGGACAGAGCTGCTCCACTCAGAGCCTCTCTGCCCAGCTGCATCCTTTTCTCTGGTGGTTTCCTCATCCCAGGGAATTCCCCTCGCCGTTTCCTGGTCACGCTATCATCTCCCCCTTCCAGGCTCCAGGTGAGCTGGGATACAGGAGCTGCATGTGCCAGCTCTGGCTCCAGCTTCCTCAGGTTGTGGCAATACTTTGAGGGGTCATACTTGACCACGTTAGTCTGAGTTAAGGATTTGAAAGACCCCAATTCTTTCAGCAGACTCAGGGTTTTAAGAAAAGGCCAAATTCTGCAGGAAAGGACAGCAAAGAATCCTTTTTCATGCCCTGACTATAAGCCTTTAAGCAACTGAGTGCAGTGTAAAACAACTACTCAAGTCACAGAAACTTACTGCACAATTCACTTGGGGGATTCAGTAAATTAAGCCCGACAGAGGAATAAAAAATAGGACTGTCAAGCAACTGTTTTTCCATATGTCAAAAGAAGGAAGGGAACTGTGTCTAAGGCCAAACAATCAGAAAAGGATATTTTATTTTTTTGTTGATTCCTGAGGTGCAGGATAGGCAAGACTCTACCAAATTTTCCAACAACCCATTTCTGAAAGAAAAATAATCTGTTAAAAAAAAACAAAAAACAGAGAGTAGAAGTAACTCTGGAATAAAACAAATGTTTATTACTGAATACCAGAAACACTAATAAAGAACCATGTGATTAATTATTTTTTCTTTATTCTCTCTAGTAAGCCCTACCATGCAACTTGGTTAGCATCCTTCTCAAAAATAAAATAAATCAAAGCCAACCAAAAAAACAAGTTTCTGCAACATACAAATAAAGAGTGATAATAAAGAACTATATTTCTTTACAGGTGCTGTTTTTAGCACTGGGTTTCTGGTTTATGAATTAACAGTGGTACCTACAAAGACAGGATCACTATTATTTTGCTCTTTTCCCCCTTCTCACAAAAAAAAATTTAAAATCCTTCCAAAACCTATCTGTGCTTAGCAAATGGTTTTGAAAACTTTGTAGTAAATATAAATTTAGTAACTTAAATTTGCAGGTCAGGTGACTTCATTCTTACTTTTGTAAGCATGGGCAGAACCCCGATCCTGTGCTGAAGCCTAAACCAGCCACCAAAAGTTATGTGGAGCATAGAAATTATTCCCTTTACGAGCTTTTAAGGGTGACACAACCAATATTCCCAGTATAGATGAGGAACAAGGCATTTCCTCATTTGACATGGCAAGAGTGGACAGTATGATCATGATTATTTCCAGTCACTGTAAAGAATGACAGGAGCCCTCTCCATGTCTGCACACGAGGTATTTCCTGAGTACTTTTTACAGCTTGGACTGTCACTCTTAATAATGATGTTTCTTTACATAAAGCATAAATTTGGCATGAGTTTAGATGCAAAGGGCTTGTTTTTTGTTGTTTTATTTCTCTTATACATCTACCCCACCATACCTTATGATCTGGCACCTCTGTACCTGGTACTGCTCTCATGTGGAAGTCCACAACTCCCTTCTTTTTCAGTGATTCCAACAGATACATTTGGTCATTTCTCTCTGGTTTTTCTTTGTGCAGCTTTGCTTCCTCCCTCTCTGTGGCCAGCCTGTACCAGAAAGTGCATCACACAGGAAAAAGGTGCAGAATTAGAGCTGGCAGTGATCCCCTCCCACAGAACAGCAACCATTCACTACTTAGGCAATTAACACCCACCACCTCTGAGGGAACAATGATGCAAAATGTGTTACAGCATCAAAGCTAAATCAACAGCCCAGAGAATCTCTTAAAACTGAAACAGTATGAGTGTACAAGATGAAAGTACAGCCATAACATTATCACATAAGCAGAAAAAAAAAAGGCAGTTTTAGCAACGACATACATTTGAAAAGATTGGTTTCTACCTGTGCAAAAAGCTTTCTTTGGCCAGCTCAATTTGCAGTGTCCCCCCTTTCCATTTTGTTTTATTTAAAACTGACATGCCTGCAAAACCAAGATAGGAAATGAGTATTTTCTACATCAAAAAAAAGCACATCACAGACTTCACAAGGCCTCCTCCTATGACAGCCTGAGCTTCCCTCAGCCTGACATTATACCCAAGTGCTCACATGGGTTAGAGCTGTATCTGAAAGGGCCAATATCCAAATCTTAAACCAGCAGGTTTACATCCAAAACTGCAGCTCTCCCTTCAAAAGTGCCTAATGGCAGCATTTCCCAGATCCACAGGCACATTGCAAAAGATGCTTTGTGTCAGCTCTTCTTCGGGTTTCCTCCCACAGAAATCAATTTCAGTGTTTTATAGATCTGATGAAAGCACTTGAAGCATAAATGGCTTAGAACAAACAAACAGGGTGCCCAGAGCAGCTGTGGCTGCCCCATCCTGGAAGTGTCCCAGGCCAGGCTGGACAGAGCTTGGAGCAGCCTGGGATAATGGAAGGAGTCCCTGCCCATGGCGGAGGGGTGCAATGAGATGATCTTTAAGGTCTGTTCCAAGCCACATCATTCTCTGAGTCTCTGAAACTGACAAATCACCTACTTCAGTCACAAGAAACCTTTTCAATCCGCTCACAGCAATTTCTGAAAACTTCAGCAAAGCAGCTTCCACAAAACTGCAGCTTAATGAAAATAAAATCAACCTGACAAGAAAATGAAAGAGGCTCTACCATGACCACAACTGGATGTGACAACATGAGACGAGCTATCAGCCATGTAACTTGACTCAAAAACATAGCTAAGAAAAAAAGAAAAACCAAAAATAAGTACTTACACTTTCTGAGATCTGCATCAGAAATGTTGACACTGATGTAAGCAAAAGTTTTTGTAGGATTCCCTGATCAATGACAAACATTAAGTTAGTTTCTACGTAGTTTCATCATTTCCTTATAAAACTGAAGTGTCTCTAAAGCAGAAATTCCATTTCCCACTCCAAACAGAAAAGTAAATAATTTTTAAAAGATGAAAGAAAACTGTTACCCTGATCATCTTTCCTGGTAATAATCTCTGTCTCCAAAACACGCCCAAACTTGCCAAATTTTTCTTCCAGCTCAGCCTTGGAAATCGTATGGCCAAGCCCTCCAACATACAGACGTTTGGAAACCTGTTCTTTCTCCATGCTGCCAAGTCAGTCCAGGTGTCACACCAGAACATACACTCTGTTCCTCTACAAAGAGACAACACGGTTCAGTGACATTCACGGAAATTAATGTTTTTAGAATAACGAATTAGGGACAAATGAGCGCATTAAAACGCACTAAGAACCCTATGAGCAGAGCATTCCTTTAAGTTGCAGTACGTAAGGCGCTCAATTCCAGAGCAGCGACAGCAAACCCTGCGCTGCTGCAGGAAACCAGAGCTCAGGTGTTAGGTTTTTTGTTTTTTTTTTTCTGAAACGCTGAACCACAGAACTGACCCATGTAATTGTATGGACAAGAATAAACGCAAACGGCTCTTTACAATATAACCCAAGGGTTCCCTATGGCGGGAACACGAGCCTCCCACAGTCCAAACTTCCCCTCCCGGGAGATGTCGAGGGAGCCCCGGCCCGAAGGAGCCCCGGAGCTGCCCCGGCCCGGCCTCACCGCCGCCATGTGCGAGCCGCGCAGCGCCTTCCCGGCCCCCCCCACAACTCTTCAGCTCTCTAGTAAAAAAGGGTTCCGCCTCCTGGTACCGCTGGGTGCTGATCGGCCGCTCGCCTCTACTGGGTTCCTGTTTCCGGCCGGTCAGGTGTGGTGGCAACACGAGGGCTGGGTCCCGTCATAGCGGAAGCTTTGAAAGGGACTAACCAGGAAGAAAAGCGGGAGTGTTTTCCGGAGCACGTGAGCAAAACTTACCGCCAGTAAGGGAACGGCCAACAAAGCAAGGCTTTATTGCTTTCGTTTGTAATCAAGAGCTCGGGAATTATTCCCCAGCAGCTCTGCGGTTCGACAGGGAGGGGAAGGAAGGCTCGGCCGGCGCCCCCCGCTGGGGCAGCAGCTGTGGTAGCGCCCAGGCTCGTGGGTTGGCGCGCGGTTCGAAAAGTGCGGGGCGCGCGCGCCGGCTCTGAGCGCTGCCTCCCCTCAGCGCTGCCTCCCTCCGCTCCCCGGCTCTGAGCGCTGCCTCCCCTCAGCGCTGCCTCCCTCCGCTCCCCGGCTCCGAGCGCTGCCCCCCTCCGCTCCCCGGCTCCGAGCGCTGCCCCCCTCCGCTCCCCGGCTCTGAGCGCTGCCTCCCCTCAGCGCTGCCTCCCTCCGCTCCCCGGCTCCGAGCGCTGCCTCCCCTCCGCTCCCCGGCTCGGAGCGCTGCCCCCCCTCCGCTCCCCGCCTCCGCTCCCCGCCTCCGAGCGCTGCCCCCCTCTGCTCCCCGGCTTTGAGCGCTGCCCCCCTCAGCGCTGCCTCCCTCCGCTCCCCGGCTCTGAGCGCTGCCTCCCCTCAGCGCTGCCTCCCTCCGCTCCCCGGCTCCGAGCGCTGCCTCCCCTCCGCTCCCCGGCTCTGAGCGCTGCCTCCCCTCCGCTCCCCGGCTCCGAGCGCTGCCTCCCTCCGCTCCCCGGCTCTGAGCGCTGCCTCCCCTCCGCTCCCCGGCTCCGAGCGCTGCCTCCCCTCCGCTCCCCGGCTCCGAGCGCTGCCTCCCCTCCGCTCCCCGGCTCTGAGCGCTGCCTCCCCCGCAGCTCCGGTTCCCTCCGCTCCTCTCTCAAGGCCGGGTGTCCGCGGCTCCCGACTGCGCTGCTCGGACACCGGTTCCGCCTCTGGGGCACCTCTGTCACCTGCGAGCCTCGGCGCGGGTCAGCTCCGGCTCCTCAGGCGAGTCGCGACTTCAGCAGCGCCCTACGAGGTCTGAAGGGCCGCGGGGAAGCAGCGGGCACGGAACGCACCAGTTCGGCTCTCACAAACGCTCCAAAGCGCTCCCCAGCTCCTCCTGTGGCAGCATAAAGTCAAATACTCGGGGCTGTAAACGGGCAGGTGCGTAGAAATGTGAGAAATGTGCTGTTAATGCACAAATCTTTATACGTGTGCACACGTATATAAGAGGAAAACTATTTGTAAAAGTTTTGTTTTACTTGAGTCATGACTAGGTATTTTTTCCTAGATATAAAATCTTTGAAGTCGGAATTAGGGTTTGAGTCTTCTGCCACCTAGTGAAATCCTTGAGTTTTGAGTTTAAGTAGTTGTAAGTAGTTTGTCTCCTGTTCCTGCTGTTAAAAGAGGGAGCAGCTGACCTGGGGTAACATTCCAGCTGTGGTAATGTTTTTCTTTTTCACACCAGTCTCTTCATTGTGACTGTGACATTCTTCACCATATCCAGTTCAAAAAAAATCTGGTGATGACTTAATGATTATCTAATTGCATATACTTCCTTTATTCATTAGGCAGGCTTTTAATGCAAGGTGTGCTTTCAATGTTGTTTCCTTATGTGTGTTATAAAGGCATTATTTCCTATGAAATAAATGAATAAAATCCAGTTTCCCCCTCATCTCCTTTTACTGAACTATGTTAGTGTGGAACTTGCACACCACATAGAGTAGGGGTGCTTTAAAAACACACAAAACTAAATGTTGGGTTTTTCCAGGTCAAAAAAATTAGCACATTAATTTTGAACTGCATATATTTTCCATACACTTCTGAATGTCTTGTAGCTAGGCTGAATGCCAGATTATTTTTCCTGAAAACTGAGGTTTATTTTTTAAATTACTGGTGAAACATCCTTGCAATTAGTGTCTCTGTACTGCTGTTTACTCTGAAGGCAGATTGTGTTAGGAGCAGCTGTGCCTTATCTGCCCAGGTGAGTCGTTAGGTCAATTGATCAAAGCTGGGTTCCATTTATGTATCTGATTGCAGTTGGGTTTTACCTGTGGAGCAGTTTGTTGTTCTATTATAGCAAATGTAAAACAGCTGAGTGCACTCCTGGATCAAATAATGACTAATTTAAAAGGTTCTTAAAGCCTCTGACTCTATTAGATCCCCGATTTAACTTCTGTTTCTGGAGGCTGTGCAGTTCTCTGTATCTTGAAACAATTGCCTAATGTTATATTTGTGTTTTTAAAGAATTTATTCCTTGCTTGTTCCTGAGAAAAATCCTTGTTTTGTTTTATGCAGTGATTCTGAGAAATGGACGAGGGCATTTTTCAAGCTTATGAAGATGAAATTCAGGCACTGGAAGAAGAAATTAGGCTGTTGACAGAAAAGTATGAAGATATGCAACAAGAATCCACCTTCTTTTCTGATGAGGAGATACTGAAGTCAATGTATGCCTTTTTTTTTTCTTTTCTTAGATTAATAGAATTTCTTTGTCAAAATTGTTTGGGATAAGCTTTTGACTCTGTGTTGGGACTTTCCTTATGTTAGTAAATGTAAACTCTGTGGATAAGTAAAGGCATCTTACCTCCCTTTTCTTGCCTGTTTTTGCACATTTCTCAAAATGGCCGCTTGCTCCTCCAGCCTTGGAATAAAAACTGTGTCTGCCTGACAGTGAATGGAATGAGTTCATTCATGTAAGTCAGAATAGTTCACTGTTTCCAACAATGTGATCCAACTGAAACTTGACCCTTCAGAAACTGATTTGGGTCTGAAATCCATCACATCCCATTACCAATGCCTTTTATTTAATGATATTGCTGTACTGACATGTTATGTCTGGGTATTTTGCCCTTTTGATTTTTTTTTTTTTTCTGTTTTAGAAACTCATTCCAAAGAGAAACTCAAGGAGAAACCAAGGGACATGCATCTCTATCCAACCTGAAAGCTCAGCTTGAAAGTCTAGAAGCAGATCTCTCATTTTTAATAGAATTAACTGGGTTTAATTTCACTAGTCATTCCAAGAAAACAGTGGAAAAAAGTAAGCAGTTTTGTGCCCTTTACTGAGCATTCTGATTGCAGATCATCTGCAAACCTCTGTTCTAATTCACTGTTAGCAGAAAGACAATTACTTGAAATACAATAAGGTTTGGTTCATTGACAAAACAATTTCTATATAAATATTATCCTTTCTTTCATGGGAAAGTGACAGACTACTGTTGTGCTTTGGAAAGTGCTTGGGAAAGTGGAGTTAGTTGTTGGTGTTTTTTAGCATGTTAAACTTCTTTACATGAGGAATGGTGACAGTTGGTACTTTAAATATGACTAAGGGAAGAAATGCAGTAGTTATTGAATAGAAGTGTAATTGATTATTTTGTTAACTTGATTTTATAACAGCTCAAAACGGGATGCTGCAGAAGCATAGATTATCAGGGAAGTGTCACTCCCTGTCTTTTCAACTGGAATTTCAGCTTCTTGAAATGGAGGTAAAGTTCTATGTATGCTTTATTAAAAAGTCCCACTACCAAGCAAAACTTCATGACAAGTGTCACTGCTTCCTTTTCCAGCTGAAACCTTCAACTGTTTAATCTAAGTTTTTGTGTGTTCTTTTGGCTCTTTAACATCTGGACATAGGAATTCCATGTGCATCTGAGGAAGATAGTTGCTAGTAGATAGAAGGTTTGGTTTAGTGATCAGCCACAAAATGGTTACCACAGAATTATTTATGTTGGAAAAAACCTTCAAGATTAAATCCAGCTGTTAACCCAGTACTGCCAGGTCTTTATCACCTTTCCTTCCCAAAAGTTGCTCCCTGCAGGATGCTCTTGCAGACTGACACTCAGGTAAAGCCCTGGGTGCACTTGGTGTCCTTCAGCTCTGCCAGGTGCCTGCTGGGGCCTCACCCTGGCCCAGCACAGCTTTCATCCCACACAGCACATTCTGTAGTCACATATCTTATTCTGGAAATTGGAAGATGTCAAATGTTACCTCTCTGAAGAAACTGAAGAAAAGCCAAAACACTACAAACTTCAGCAGCTCTCTTTGTTGGTTTGGGTTTGGTTTTTTTGTTTTTTTTTCCCTTTGGTTATATTTGTGTAGGCTTGGTTAATGTGAGTAGTCATTGCAGCACTGCCACAAGTTACACCAATGATTGCAGGTTTTCTGGGAGGGAGCTCTTTCATAAGACTGTATTCTTAGCACAGAATTCACAATGCTAAGCAAAGGAAAACAGCTTATACCCCAGTTTGCAATAGTATTTTTCTAACACCGTTGTACTTTGTAATGGTATTTCTAACATCACAAAAACTTGATTTTTCAGCTCAGCTTTAAAGTTGTTTGTTTTTTTTTTTTAATGAGATGGGACTGAGAGTGAACAATAAAGATTCATTCATTCCTATTCTATTCTATCCTGCCATTCCTATTCTTTAGAAAAGCCATAGTATTATTTTGGGAATTGAATATTTAGGTAGCCACACATGGATTTTATCCTTTGAAACTGCAAGAGTTCAGCTGAATGAGCAACCTCTGAAGTCCATTTGTGACTTAAAACTTGTGGTCTTCATGTTGCCTCTTTACACTTGCTTATATAAAACTGCACTTAGAATGTTTCTCAGCTGTGTCTCCTGCAGCATGATGATATCTTTTGGTGTCAGTGGGGCTCAGAGGGGATACTGGGTGTTAAATTTACTGCCGATGGTATTGGTGCTTAAAGCCATTGCACCACTGAGCGGCAGCACTTGGCTGCCTAATGTCTAAAATTTGGGCTACTTTGAATACTGATAAGATAGGGAATACCCGGTGTATATAAACTTAAAAACCCTCACTTTAGCTGTAAGAATATAATTTTGAGCTGATTTCTGCATGATTTTTTTTTTTGTTTGCTAGGAGTACATCATACTCAAAATAACCTGTCCTGACATTAACATGGACAAGGTAGTATAGTTATAACCAGTTTCACCTGTCCTGAGGAGTAAATGCTGGTTTTGGGAAGTGCCCAGCAGATAACAGGTCTGTTGGTATGCAGCAGAAGATCAGGAATAGTTTTTTCACACTGTTAACTGTAGCTATTTATTCTAGTAGTGAAGTCACAATAGAGTTAATTCAGCTCCATAGTATTAAGTATTAGGAGAGAATGTGAGCTTGAAAATCAGCCAAATAAGTCTAAGCCTTTTGGGAAAGCAATAATTTAAAAGTTTCTTTCTTGCCCAGAGCTTTCTTTTTAAATCTTATTTGTCACCACAATGGCATTTTAGCATGTTAATAACCCCCACTTTGGCAAACCAGTCCCTTCAGAAGGTGGCACGTTAGCTTGTGACTGCTGGCAGCTTCTCCACAACTCCATTGCCCTGTTGGACCTTGTGCTTTAAACCTAAAATGATTTTTCCTGGTGGTATGTAGCACATCCACTAATCTCTGTAGTGCCTTGCTTTGCTTTTCCCATCTTCAGTGATGGCAGTGTTAGCAGGGCTTCTGTCCAAGCAGTACAGGGACTGCTGTGATGTGTGTAGTCCTCGCTCGCCATTCCCATTTGCTTGTAGTGACTTGGTACGAGAAGTTTAAAGTGAGGCATTTCCTGTGGTCTTCAAACCATGATTTTAAGCTTTTTCATTCAATGTTACCTAATCCATTACTTTGGTGTGTTCAAGAATGCATAGAAAACCAAATTAACTTGTTTTGTGGCTTCATTTCTACTCTGACCACCTTTTCTCATTCTTTAACAGCTTATTAATTCCTTTAGAATAATTTTATTATCCCACGCATTTCTAAGTAACAGCAATTGTAAAAAAGACAATATTTTGAGACAAAACTGTAGGGTTTAAAATTTAAAAAACAGCCCAAACCTAACAGATAAAACCTTACATGTGAATTTTCTGGTATATGTGGCAGCTCAAGGTCATGTTGGAATACGAGAAGAATCCTCCAGAAGTGGGATAGATGCGAGAAGAAGTAATGAACATTTCTTTATATACATATGTATTCTATGCTGACAAATTCAGGTGTTATTCTAAAAGCCTTGTGTGGATAATAGTGCTACTCTTGAAATTAAAGAAACTGTTCACACACTTAAACTGTAGTTTTAAAAATACTATTTTAAGGATTATAGTAGTTAGCAGCCTTTATATCTACTTTTTTCTATATTTTTATATGCAAATAGACACATTTATTTCCTCGCCAGAGCAATTTCTAAAATATTTTGCTGTTACTTGTTCAATCTAGAACAATGAGGAAGTGTCTGCTGTTGTTAGTGATCTCAGTATTATAATGGAATCCACAGAAGATTCAAATGTGAGCAAGTTTCTGTCACGGTAAGATGGGATTATTTGCTCAAGGCAAGTTATTGTGTGGGATATGGGATACTAAATGCAGTATTGAGTTTTCATGTAAATTGCTGGCAGCCAGTGTCTTTATGTGATGTGTCTTTAGCCCAGCCTAAACACTTCCTATCCCTTATCTGTATCTTGGAGAGAAGATGAAAAGCATGTGATTTTTAAGATCTGAAGGGACCATTACAAATTCATGTTAAACATTATTGGATTATACTGTGTTTTAGCTGCTTGAAGAGAAAAGTAACAAGACAACCTCAGCTATTACATCTCAATTAATATAATTATTCCTCATATGTGGATGTGAGTTGCAGTGTGAGTAATGCCTAAAGTGCACATCCAGAACCCCTTTCCAGTATTTGCCTGTTTCTGATTGTCAGCTCTCAATTCCATTTTTCTTATTGGCAACAGGATTTATTTCACTGATATCCTAAAAAAATATAATTTAAAAACATGGAATAGTGTATTTGTGCAATGACGTAAGAAAATTAACATACTAAAACTTAAATGTATGAATGAATGCTGTTTTTAATTATTTTCTGGAGTATGACAGCTTCTTGTGAAAACATGATAAGCAAATGATCAAATTATTTATCTTCAGTATTCCACTGAATTCTGCTAGCAAGCTGTTCTGAGAGCAAATCCATTATCACTGAGTCATTGATTTAATTATTTTCTATTTTTTTTAGGTGGGGGAGGGAGGGAAAGGGCCAACAGATGGGTGAAGAGAGAGGTCTATTGAGTTACCTCAGTCTTCAGTAGTCTCTACTGAGAACTGATTATTTTACTTAAAGGCTTTGAAATTTCCATATAAATCTACTAAAGCTTGTGGTGAAACTGGGAAGAACAGTTGACTACTCTCAAGAAATGGGATTTAGAAAAGGAAATTGCCCTGTTTTATTCATGACTATTTTATGACAGCAGAAGTGTATTGGAACTTACTGAAACACTGGAAAGGAATGTGTTGAAGTAGTGGCAGACTTTATTTTGTCCTGGCTGGAGTACTGCTGTCTTGTCCCTGTGTCTTCTCCTTTTTCACCTTGTGCCAGTATTCATAAATAAGCACAAGTTTTCATGATGATAGAAGATGTCAACAAAGCAGGCAGTGCCTTCTCTTGAGCCTCCCTTTGCACATGCTGCCTGTTGGCCTTGTGTCTGTAGATACCCTTGCAGCCACATGGCCAATAGGATCAGTGTGGTCAGTAGGCTGAAAAATACTTTTGGGGGTGGGGAACAGCCCAAACTTGTCCCCCATAACACCTTCAAATTTCAGTTTTCCTGTATACCTTGTCCTGGCTACAGTGTGTGCTGCCTGTGTGAGGCAGTGAGTCCATGGCTGATGCTCTGGTGCCTGTTTGAGAGCCCCCTCACTGTTCCATTGAGTCTGTGACCTCCCTTCAGGGCCTGTTTGCCCAATCCCCTTGTTGGGCTACTCCTCATTTCTTTTTCCAAGTTGTAATCCCCTCATGTCCAATTTCAGACTTTTCCCAACTAGCCCTTTGTTCTTTAGTCTGCTCCTAAAATTCCTACCTCTTCCCTTCTTTTCCCTCCATTCCTGACCAGCTGAATCTGGTCTCCTGCTGTTTTGTTCATTTTAGCCTCCCTATCAGTTTGTTTTCTTCTTTTGCTTCCTTGGACCAGTCTTGCCTAATCCTTTGTCTAGTTTTGTTCTGTTTTGTCTCCCATTATGTTTTTGTTTCCTGATTTTTTTTTTTACTCCCCAGTTTTCTAAATTTTTTTTTGCTTCATTTTTTTTATAATACATGTCAGAAAATTGTCTTTAAGAGCAGCAGAGTTAAAAATCTGGCATTCAGTTCTTGCTTTGGAAGAAAATAGGGGAATGCTGAAACACTTGAGCAATATCTTTTTCAATAAAGCAAAATTCAGCAGTCTGCAGGTACTGCTGCAATTTATAAATTACAAATCTCTGAATAAGAATTGTACATTTTTTAAAAGTGGATATATTTTTATATAATTTCTTAATTATTTTGTGACAGTAACAGATGTATGCAAATGGAATCACAATATTTAGTTGTCTTTTCTGGATTTCACTTGTGTCCCCTTTGGACTACTTACTACTTTACTAGTGTTGAGAATCACATCTAAAAAACTGTTGGCAGTCCTTTTTCCTTTTTTTTGACTTGACACCCCATTAATTGTTGGAGGAGTTCACCTTTGCCTGGGTTACTTAGGCAAATAGAGATTTTAAGCAGCATGAAAATTGCTCTTACTTTTTACTAACTAGTTAGAATCTGTAAGTCAGAGTGCAGGATTTAGGAAATATGCATTATATTAAATGCTGCATGAACAAAGTCTATTGCAAATGAAGGGAAGTAGGAATTCTATCTCCAGCTTTGAGTCGTGCCTTGGTTTTCTATGCTAATGTAAGAAGCCTTGCATTCTGCAGTGAGTTAAAAAGTATTTTCTCCTTTAAAATACATAAAGGAACACATTAAAGGAGGCTTAGGTACTTTTAACAACAGCTAAATTTCTCATCTACTTCTGTGTTGATATTTTGTGAAAGTGAAAGGGTATTTGAAGAGCCCATGATTTTAACCTGAGAGACTAACCAGTTACTCTCTGCCTGAGTATCCTTTTAGCTGGTTTTGGATGACTTCTCTGTAACACGGATGTTGGCATTGGAGACAGATGTTTTCTGCTCCAAGTGGATTTTTGTAATGCTAAATTCTTTCAAATTAAAATAAAGACTTTAATTTTACCATCTACTCTCTTACTACTTTGTTATTTTATACCATGTTTCCTTGGTATTTTAGCATGTGGTGTAGTTGACTTCAGCAGGAGGAATTAGGTTTATTTGGGCTAATTAGGAATTTGTGTGTGTATGGTGAGAGTTCACTGAACTGGTGCTCTTATGCAGTCTCTTAGTTTTTGCCAATATGGATTTACATACAATTTCTTTGGTCAACAGATTCCCCCTTTCTAAATGCTGAGTTCAGTGAGAAAAGTACATCCTCAGATATATTGGTTGACTACCTAGTGCATTTGAAATTGTTTCTCTGAACTTCTACACAAAACTTTTTCTTTCTGTTGATGATCCAGCCTTGAAAATTTTTGTCTGCTGCATCACATAAAAATGATTTTGAGGCAAAAAATAAAACTAAAAACCATGCTAAAACAAGGTCACAGTGTTTGTGATAGTATTTTAAATAGCATAAACGTGGATTTTATAAAAATTGCCAAGTTCTTCAAAAAGAATTTTAAGTGTGTAGTTCTGTAACAAAGCTTTGTCCTGTTCCACGAGTGGAGATTGCAAAAGCCCAATGCAGTTTGTGTGGAATCTGTTCTCCAGGCATGGATGTGGGCAGTTGTTACCAAGTTGCTATAGAATGTGTAGGCTTTGACATGTGCAATTCAGAGTTGTGGTTATTGTAAATCAATGTCTGTGTCCTTCCAAAGACTCACTTTTCCCATTGCTGCCAGTGTTTTTTTCATCTTGGCCTGACTTTGTTGGCAGCTGTGACTACTGTGGTAACTTCTTTTAATGATGCTGTTCTTTCCAGGCTGGGATAAAAATTGTTTGGCTTTTCTTTCACATTTTCAATATCTGAATGACCTTAATGTATTTTTTTTTCCAGTTTCTTTGTGCAACTGGTTAAGGTTTGCTGTTCCTGTGTATTAAAAAGAGCAGAATTGAAAGAACAGTTCTCCCTAGGAAGGTGGAACTGACTTGGTAATCTACTGTTGCAGCCATTCTGTGAATGCCTAAAGTTTGCTCTTAGCTGTTCTGAAAATCCAAAAAGAATAGCTAATCTCAGAAAGGATTTTAGAAGTCAGATTTACATTAGAATTTAAATACTGTAACTTCCTGAAATATTCTCAGATTTCAGATATCTTCCTCAGTCAGGTTTTATAACTTGTAAAATCCTATATTAGTAGCCAAAATAAATATTTGTGCTTCCAAAACAGTGCTTGCCAGGTGTGTTTTGATCATGGCTAATAGTCTGTAGCTTCATATCAACAATGACATGAAGCTTTTCACCCTTATGTTTAAATAATCATGTTACTTCAGGTATTCTGACATGTGGTTTTTGTGGAGTTTTGCATCTTTTGCATTCTGGTTGCATTTGTTTAGTAAAAATTGCACACCCTTTATGAGCTTTCTTTCTCTATTTTTCCCCAACAGCCCTGCATGTGTGTTTTTTTGCTGCCTGACAGTTTGTCACCTTATATTGTCTCTTTTACTTTCTCTATCTTGATTCTTACTAGAAATTCAAAAAAGAAACATATCTATCTTTCCCTCCCACTCTCTCCCCAGCATAAGAAGGAACATGGACCTGTTAGAGCAGGTCCAGAGGAGAGTGAGGAAGATGTTCAAAGAGCTGGAGCCCCTCTGCTCTGAAAACAAGATCGCATCAAGATTTAGCAGTCTGACAAAAGTCTGGCTTTAGATACCCTGTGTCATCAGCCTCCTTTCCTAGTGAAGCTCAAGGTTAATCTTGAGAAGCTGAATGTCATGTGGGCAGAGGCAGGTAACATGTCATGCAGAGTTAGTTGGTGAAGACAGATTTTGGGAATATTTGAAGGTTAGTGATGCAATTTGGAAATCTTACCATTTTGTAGGTTTAGGTTTTACTATGCAACATCTTAGAATTTATTTAGAAAATAAGTTGAGCAAGAATAAAATCAAACTAAGACTTTCCAGGTGTCTACTTAGTCTTATGTGTAAAATGTAGGAACAAACACAAGAAAACTGGTTTAGGAATGTGTGCTTCAACCTCTTTTTCAATCATTACAGCTTTTTTCAGCTTTGCAATTCTTATTTTGGGTGATTTCTACTTCATATTCAAACAATACTAATAAATTTTTTTAAGTGTGAATTTAGGCGATCATATTGATACATCTGATTATGAGTGGGTTAAACAATATATTTTTGATTTATAGCACTGAAGAACGTGGAGATCTTCTAACATTTTTCAGAAGCATTTCAACCTATGCTGAGTGGTATGAACATCGTAAACACACCTTCCTGCATTTCAAGGTAGTGTCTATCAAGCCTTTTTTTTATTAGTACAATATTTATTGTTTAAGGAGGTTAGTAAGACAAAGCATTGGAAGTGAAACTGGCTGTCTTTAGCAGAATATAGGATCTTAGTTTTGTATGTGGAGGTGAAGAGAATATGAGATAAAAATTTGTGCTGTGTTCAAGGGGCAATTGAGCAGCAATTGCTGTGCTCCTCTTGGGTGAAAGAAAATAAGACTGCCTTTCTGTGAAGAAGTAAGACAGTTTGCTTTGGTATTATATTTTATTTTGATTTAAAAAAGAAAAAGAAGAAATTAAAAGAAAATAACACTTGTAGTCTTTGGCATATAAATGTTGGTTTTGAAGGATTAGATGTGTTTCTCTTGAAGATGTGTCAGAATGTGTTTGGATGACAGCACTTTCAGTTCTGGAGTGTTCTACTTGTGTGAGAAATAGTGTTGCTCCCTCCTAACTGAAACACAGTATTTGAGCTTCGTTTTAAATTACCAGTATTTGGCTTGTTTGTTTTGACTTTGTGCTGGCTTTAAGATCAACAACTAATCCTTGGAGTAAAAATACTACAGTCTTACAGGCACAAAACATCTTACATGATGCTTTATGTTAGAGAAGGATGTTTAGCTGCTTAATTGTTTGTGGTTTCTGGGCTGAGTTTTATGTACCTCAAGTATTTACTGTCATTAAACTCAACACCATCTTTACTTTTCAGCTGTAGTATCAAGTGCAAACTGCAACATTTCCTATTTTTTCAGTCTTTTAGGCCTCTGAGTTCTGTGCCAAATTAATAAATTTATATTATCCAATCAACCAGAAAACATAAAAAGTGTTCTATTTTCTGATAGCACTAAAAATAAAATCCAGTCCTCAGGTGAGCAATGAACTGGCATTGCCTAATCCTGCTGGCTTTTGTCTAAGGGCTTTTCTCTAATCCCCCCCATAGAAAAAGTAGAGCACCAAGAGCTTTAGGGCTCTGAAGTTGTTATTTCCAGCCTCCCTTGATGCTTTCTGATCCTTAGATCACCAGTCATTGTGGTTTCTGGGACAGTGATTTGGTGAACTGTTGTAAATATTTCTCATTTTAAAATATAATAAAAAAAAAACACGAAAGAGTTTTGGAGACAATTTTCTGATTATTGTTATATAAGCAGTTTTTAAAAGTATTTGTTCAGATTTTGAGTATAAACAATGAAATTATCTACTAATTGCTAAAAGATGTGTGAAGATAATTCATTGAAGACATTACAAGTTTGACAGTACTACAGATGTTCTTTCTAAAGGTAGCTTTATTTCCATGGTTGAAGACAAACCAATTTGGGAGAATTTTTACCAAATATGACTGACTGTGTGCTTATGAAGAGTATTTTAGACCTTCTTATTTTCGTTAGCATTGCTAATCATTTAATCTTGAAACTGAAAACTTTCTCAGGTAAGAGAATTAATAAAAGGGTTGAAAGATCAAATCTGACAATTCAAATAACTAGATTGCCAAGGAGAATGTATATTTGTAATTTAATGTTTTAGTAATTTGTGGGAAAGCAATTAGATGTATGTTGTTAATATATGCATAAAACCAACTCAAGAGTCAATCCTGTAAATACTCAAACTTACACATTAAAATTAGTCTGTAATCTTTGTATTTATTTTTTCCCTCGTACCTGCTCTCTAAAATCCCCTGTTTCGGAGAGAAAAGTGTTGGGGGGGAGTCTTGGGTTTATAGCTTTTCTATTAATCTGTTTTGGTTTTTTTTTTTTTAAAGAAAATTGCCAAGGCTTCTATGTAGAAATAGTTACTGATACTTTCCTGAGTGTGTTGTAAAAACACCAAAGGAAGTTTGTTGGTTTTTTTTTTCTCTCTTTTGGTACTTGAGAAGAAAGGGATAATGTAGAAGTGGATGAGTACTTGAAGTAATATTGAATGTTTTGAGATTAATGGCAATTCAAGGTCGATTCAAAATAGGTTTTGAAGGAGCAAGTGGAGTGTTCACTAAGTATTCTGTATTCTATATTTGTCATAATAAATATGCCTGTAAAATGGATTTGCATCTACAAATAACCTTCTAGCCTTAATCTGCTGTGAGGCTGAAGAACTGAAACTGTTGGCATGGCTGGAAGAGCAGGTTGTTGAAGCTGATACTAATAAACAAGAACAAAAATTCAAGTTTTATTGGAAATACAGAACAGAAAAGAATGATAGGAAAAAAATAAAATGGTTTACATTCAGCTTGATACTAGTACTGGTCACAGAAATAGGAGGTGGAAATCTTCCCTACTGAAGCCTTTCTCACTTCATGTTTTGATTAACTTGCTGTGAATGGGGAAAGTAAAGTAAAACACATTAGAGAACTTGGTGCCTGCATAAGACATTCAGAAGGTACCACTTGTCTACTTTGGTTTGCTCACAAAGTGTTAAGAGCATTAATTAGCGTTACTGATGATAATTAATATGTTTCAAAAATATATACAACATTTTAATGTAAAATTAATCATGTGGTGGTAGGTTTTAGAATGTTTTCATGTGTGTATATATTACAAAAAATACACATTTGTTTGTGTGTACACATTTTTTATGATATTTACTAGTATTTATTTATTTATTGGTGAGTTACTGAAAATAGTTTTAGTAGCAATGATTTGTGATGAGAATAAGATCAGAGGCTGCTGCTTATGTAACATTATTACACTTACAGCTGTGTTTTTCCATCTTAGGCATTTATCACAGGAGACATGAAAGAATTGATGGGTTTAATTTTTTCCAAATAGAAATTTGGCTTGACATTGGAATGTATTTTTACATGCTTTGAAATTGTTTTTTACATTTTGCTAAAAACCTGGGAACATCAAAGTTTTATTATTTATGTGGAAAAATGAAAACCAAGTATTGCTGCTGGACTTGGTTTTAGTTCTCAATTAAGACAATGTAATTTCCTTCTTGCTACACTAAATAACTTAAAATGGAAAATATTGGGGGTTGCTGTTTTTCTTGGGTAACAGGTTCAGGGCAAAAATATGTGTTCAGAATCAAGGCTTAGCTAAATAAGATAAATAAAACTAACACAAAAAATCTTGTAAAATCAATGTTTTAGATGTAGGGATACATCATCATGCATTTGATGCTTAACTGTTTCTACTAATTAGGAATCTATACTAGCTTCAAAATTAGTACAAAGTGGGTGTGGCAATAGTAACTAGCACACCTTTGGCATTCATTTGTCTGGAGGCTTTACACCTGTGGGAGGTATTGGAGAAACTGGATGTCAGAAATGTGCAGTTGTGGAATTAAAAACATTGTGAGGCAGCATCCTCAGGCATCCTTATCAGTGATGGCCAGTTTTAGAGAACTGAGTGTCGAGGCCTGCACATGGCAATTTCTGTTTTTAATATGCTGCAGAGGTTCAAGTAGTTGAGTGAAATGCTTGAAGTTACGTCTGATTTCAGATTAATGATGGAATCAACTTTTCTTTGTAATTTCAAAGTCTGATTTGATTTTTCCCTAATGATCAACAGTATTGTTGTAGAAGGGTGATTCTTTTTTTGGTCTGACATCTAGATGAAATCATACTTTATTTAAAGGTAAACACATGAATTCAGCTTTGCTCCTAACTATATTGTCACATTTCGTGTCAGGAGAAGCTGTGGAACCAAGGCTTGCTCTACATCATTAGTTAATAACAAAGGTATTTGAGTCTGTTATGCTGTATGTAGACCGTTTTAAAATAGGAAGCTGGGGTTGCAAAAACAGCTCTTGTGAGAACAGCACAGCAAAACAGATATATTTCACTTAAAAATACATTGTGTAAAAATAAAACATGTTATTTTCAAAGCAGAATAGTAGAAGGAAATCTAAAACATCTTTGCAAAGTTGCAACTATGTTGCTTGGTGTACTAAACCTAAATAGGAGTTATTTTCATTTACCACAAATCAAATTTTTAAGGAAATGTTAATGAATTTAAGCTTTGAGAAGTTCTGTTTCTAAACATAACTTTTTTTCATCTGCATCTTCATCCAATACACTTCTGAAGGTCAACTGAAAAGATTTCACTCCAGATTAAAAGAGTGGGATTAGAATTCAGAAGTATTTTTCCTCTTTGGTTTGCTCAAAGAAAATCTTGCATTTATTTGAAAGTAAAATGTGCTGTTTGTTCTAAGTGCTGGTAAAGAATGAGAAGAAACAGATTTGTGTGATTTTATCTAAAGAGTATGTGGTGAAATAAAAGTTGAGATAATGTGTGTGCATATATATATTTTTACACTTTCATTAGCAGAAAAGATTCTGAAAGCATGAGGGACACCATAGCTACTAAAGTGACTGGTTTGAAATGGTTATTTCAGAGGAGAACGGTGCAACATAGCAGAAGGTCCTGGGTATGCAGAGAAAAGAGCATTAGTAAGGGAGAGGATATGAACTTGTAAACAGAGTGATCCTTGTTAGCATGCCTGGCTCTGGCATGTGGGGTGGCATGAGCAGTGCTAGTAGTACGTTCCCACGGGCAGCATCCTCAGGCAGGAGAAGGCGTTGACGTGCTTGGCCAGGACGATGGGGTTGCCCTCCATCCTTATCTCGTCCATCCGCGTGCGGATGTAGCGCGTGTTGTTGGACTTGCAGAACGTGTCATCCGTGATGGTGGTGATGTTGTTGTACTGCAAACCAAAACATTTTCATAAATAAGTGCATACCTGCATTGTTCATAAAAGATTAGAGCTTCGTTTTGCCATTTCCTACCACTGATGTACAGAAACCAGTAATAAATCCTTGCATGGGAATTAGCAGCCTCTGAACATCTGGATGGTTGTGGCCGAACGCATTGATATGGTAAATTGTTTTATTCAGAGGTGCAGTGGAAAACTGTAGCAGGAACTGTTTTCAAATAGAGCATGTTTGATTGAAGGTATAACTTCTGGGGTGTTTCCTAAGAGAACGTTAAGGAAATCCTTTGGGAATACCTGAAGGTGAAGAATGCGCAGACTCTCCGGTAAGTTCAGCGGGACAGATTCCAGTGCGTTGTGTCCTAAGTAGAGGTAGGCCAAATTTGTCAGCTTCTATTAAACAGAAAGAGAGGTTACTGATGTTCGTATTACTTGAGATTAAGGAACTCATGCCTGTTACAAGACGTCAGTAATTTTTTCTGATCACATAGCCTGTAAACTGATGTAACAAAAGCCATTATTTTGCTGTGAATGTTGAATACTATTATATCAAGAAATTCATAGAACAGACATTCTGTGTTTGGGAAATTTCAGTGTCATGTTGGTTATAAAAGCTGAGACCACTATAAATTACTGTATGTATATTGTTTATTAGTATTTCTGTTCAAGTTCTCAGAACTCTAATTGAGCCATCAATTTTTGAATATTTTTTCTTTACATGTTAAGAGAGAAAGCAAGCAGGTGAGAGATTTAATAGAAAATTATTTTCTATATGGAGGACATGAGGGAATGAGTGCACAAATGACTGATATTCCAGTGTGCCTTAAAAGCAAAGCAAAAGCTGCTGCATCATAGTTTGTTTCTTAGAGTACAAAAAACACAGAATTTGGTGGCTCACTGAATAGTTAGGTTACTAATTTTGGTTACTTTGATTACCTAGATTATTGGGTTTTTCCTTACCTTGAAAGCATTTGCTTTGATTCCTCTGCTCTTGATTCTGTTTTGATTTGCATTAAATGTTGTTAGTTTGGGAGGTAGAACAGGAAGTTTTACAAGTCGATTTTCAGCAAGAGAAAGTTCTTCCAACAGCAGAAGCTTTGAAAAGGCTCCATCTTCTATTTCTTCTATCCTATTTCCACTAAAATCAATTCTTCTTAAGGTAGCTTTACACAAAAGAAATTTAAATCTAAGTATTAACTTTATAATTACATGGCATGTGAAATGTGTATGGCTGTATATGCTAAATGTTATACTGTTGGCTGCAGCATCTAAATTGTGATCTACAAATGCAAATACTATTAAAATTGACATCTAGATTTTTTTCCTGGTCTTAAATTGAAAAATTAAAAAAGGCAAATACTCAAAACCTCTGGATCCTTATTTTTATCTTAAAGAAATACTCTAGATCCTTCTTTTGGTCTTAGAGATAGCATAATTTCAGATATTCAAAGAATTTGCCATGCTGTGGAGTAAGATAGCTGGCAGACCTGTCCCTAGGGTATTTGTAGGAAAAATAATGCCTGGTCATTTAAGACTGGCTTGGATGCAGAACTGAATTTTATTTTTAGCCATTTGCTTTTTGCCTGATTTTTTGGGAGTATTAAGATGTTTACAGGGTCCAAAATGTGTGTCCATTGTGTCTTTCCATTTTGTATTCTAAAGCAGAGATGGAAATTGGGGTGTCACTTACTAATGTCGGCAAAGTCCGAGGCTGCAATCCTTTTGATCTTGTTGAACCGAGCATAGAGATAAGCGGTTTCCTTGGGCAGGGGGGGCACGGCCTCGATGTCGATCTCCTCGCAGTACACGGAGCCGCTCAGGCACACGCACAGCAAACACGTGGGCAGGTCTGCCAGCAAGGGCAGAGCACACAGTTACAGCATACTCAACTCACTTAAGCTTGATTACTCAAAATAGAGTTTTCTCTAGTGTCTTTTAAGATTTCCTGTTGTTAGGTTTTTAAAAAGTTCTATTTGCCTCAAGTTCTGAGAAGATTTATGTTCTCAACTGTTTTGGGTTTTTTTGGTTTTTTTATTGTGTGTGATTTCCCCGAGTATGATCTCTGTTCTTACCTGAGCATGTGAAATGCTATTAATCGACTTGAATTCAGTTTAAATCTGTAGTTGGCGAAGAGTATGGTGATGTGACAACTGCAAGTTTGTGACCACATTAAATATCACATCTGGAACCAAACCCACAAGGAGAAACACCTGGCAGTGCATGTATTTGGTACTGTAAGTGCATTGGAGTATTTCTGGCAGGTCACACAATATCCTGTGTTATTCCTAGCCACTATTTTGTCTAAACCTTTTGCTAAAAACTCCAGCAATTATGTTTATATTTCATATATGGTTTAGGTTGGAAGGGACATTAAAGATTATCTCATTCCAACCCCTTTGCCACAGACAGGGACATCTTCCACTAGACCAGATCGCTCAGAGCCCTATGCATAATCTCTATGGGTTTTATACTTAGATTTTCACAGCTGTTGTTTTAAGTAGAGAGAGAAACTTTTTGTAATGTAGTTTGAGACCTTTCTAGCTTGTCCTAGTCCAGTAGCAAAGTATCAGTAACCTCTGTGTTGCTCTAATCTTTTCTGCCAACAATATTCAAATACATATAATGAATGTGGCTTTGAATCCTGTTTCATCACTACTGCTGTGTCTTGTGCTGTGTTTTCTATATTTTGAAAGTTTTGCTTGGCTTCCACCCTGCAGTGAATGCAGTGCAGACAGCAGGGTCATTCGAATCATGGAGTAGTTGTCACTACACAGCAAAACAGGACCCTGTACAACCAGTGAGGAGTTAGAAAAGCAGCTGGTCAATACTGGGAAGCCAGCATGTAACAGTAATTCTTTTTCTTACAGCAGCACTTCAGAGAATAAAATGAGGATTTTGAGGTTTAGCTTTGTGAATATCATAATTTTTAGGCTACAGAGTTCTGCCCTATTTGGTGGTTTTTTTTTTTTTTAGTGCCTTGTTTTCATATGTTTGTGTAGGAAATGGAAAATGTCAAACAATGTTGTCACTGTTAAAAAGGCAATAGTTTTTATGCTTGTCTGTCTAGAAGCTCTGATGATCTTGGAGACTTGCTCAGCTTTGGATGGGGGCTTGTTGACAGGTGCTTTTTGACAATAATTAACCTTGAATTAGCACTTTGGTAGACATTGACAGTCCACTGGTCTTGCTGAATCATTGGTTATTTTTGGAAGTTTATATCACAGACACACAAAATAAGTGTCTCTTTTTCTCACTGCTCTGTTTGGCAGAAAAACTTTGTCATTTTCATGTGCAGAGATCACTGGGGCTTGTTAGGAGAAACCTGGACAAATGTACCCAGAGCCTGTAGGAAGCTTTGGCAAGTGAAGAATGTTCCTGATGTATTTTAAACATTGGCCTCTCTGATCATCAGATGTAAACTTTGAGAATAGCCAAATGTTCAAATAAATCTGTTGAAATAATTTAAGCACACAGTGTTTCATCATCACTTGGTTAAACTGTGGAACTTACTGGGGGATGTATTTTGTTTTTCTTTGTTGTCTTGTCTAACTTATTTAACTTGGGTACATCTCAATGGCAAATATGACTGGACAAGTCTGTGGAGATGCTTACAAGCTGTGCTTTGTGTATTCAGAGTTTCCCTGAGGATCCTTTAAATTTTTCAGCCTGCTCCATCAGAAGTTACAAGGTTTTCCATGGGTGATATGAAAGATATTAATAAACTAAAAGATTAATTCTGTAGTCTTAACAGAAGGATAATTCTGTTATCCTTTGCACTTTAGATTTCTATGGTAAAATATATTCTTTTGGATATCTTGGACATCGCAATATTCATGTCAGTTAACTTACTTGTGTCCTTTGTTGGTGGGACATCGAGTTGGCTGTCATCTCTTTGCAGCATTAGGGTAGTGTCAGGAGAAACATTTGTTCCATCCTTTGTGAAAAAAACAATGTTGTTTTAAAATACAAACTGCAGACAAAAAGCCACAGAGCATTACAATTGAAATAACATTTTTTAAAGTGAGCTTCCTACAATATACCTACCTATGGCACTTAATTTTTAAAATGCTTTTATAGGTTGGCTGACTAATGTGATGCGTTGTTACTTTTACATGTGAACTATTCACTTTAAAAGGCAAGAAGGGAAGGTGCTGCCAGTACTTCTTAGAAAACTGAAGTTCTTCAGGAAAGGAGAGTAGACATGAAATAGAAATAGAAAATATAGTCTAGGTGTTGGGAAGGAGTATCTAAGTAGAGGGTATTTGCAAACAGTTTTGAAGATCAAGATTTTGGATATAATGCAAAACTCAATAGAATTCTTGTGAGTATGAGTAGTATTTTGTGTTGTACCCAAATAATCTCAGTAAAATGACTGAGATGTCCTTGCATTTAAAGTTATTCTGAATTCCTCCTGGAGACAGTCATTGCATCTTTTCAATTGCAGGACAACTTAGTTTATAAACACATTCCTTGCAGGTATTAGCTGAAATTGAGTAATTTGTTTCTATGATCTGTATGTTAGTCTGTTTTAAGGTGTGGACTGCTTACAGAAAGGACCTCTTCACACAGAATCACCAGGTTGGAAGAGACCTTCAAGACTGAGTCCAGCCCTAACACTTCAATTATACCATGGCACCGAGTGCCACATCCAATCTTTTTTAAACACATCCAGGGATGGTGACTCCACTGCCTTATCACCCATTCTGTAAAAAACCTTTTTCTAATATCCAACCTAAATTTCCCTTGGCGCAGCCTAAGACTGTGTCCTCTGGTTCTGTCAGTGCTGCCTGCAGAAAGAGACCCCACATAACGACAGCCAACTTTCAGGAAGTTGTAGAATGATAAGGCCACCCCTGAGTCTCCTTTTCTCCAGGCTAAACACCCCCAGCTCCCTCAGTCGTTCCTCACAGAGTTTGTGTTCCCAGCCCCTCTCCAGCCTCGTTGCCTCCTCTGGATGTGCTCGAGCGTCTCAACATCCTTCCCAAACGGAGGGCCCAGAATTGGACACAGCACACGAGGTGTGGCCTCACCAGTGCTGAGTGCAGGGGGAGAATGACCTCCCTGCTCCTGCTGGCCACACCATTCCTGACACAGGCCAGGAGCCATTGGCCTTCTTGGCCACCAGGGCACACTGCTGGCTCGTGTTCAGCCAGCTGCTGACCAGTGCCCCCAGGTCCCTTTCTGCCTGAGCACTGTCCAGCCACACTGTCCCCAGCCTATAAAACTGCAGGGTGTTCTTGTGACCTCTTGTGATGCAAGGAACAGCAGTCAGGTTTTCACTGGATACTGGAGGAATTTTTGAGAATTACCTATTACTGTATTTACAGTATAGATACAGTTTCTTATACTGTGATTTGCATGCAGTAACATTAAGGGATATCAGTTTGACTGTGGTAGTTGTTTTTGGCTTGCATCATTTGTTTGGGTTTTTTGGGGGTTTTTTATGGGGAATATTTGTAGGACAGAACAAGCCAATATGTTTTTTGGTTTGTGTGGCTATTGGAAGCACATGCAGGAAAGATCTTTATGAGATGTGGAAGATGTTTTGCTTTAAACATACTTAAGGATCAGCTCTGGTAGGAGTGCTCTGTGGAAGAGCTGCTTGCACACTGGGAGTGCTGACAACCCTTTTTAGTTTTCTTAATCCCCCCACTGTCCCCTCCTTCAGGCACACAGGTGGTTCATCTGCAAGTGCAGTGTGCAGGTGAGAGCTTTCAAGCTCCTTCTGGTACTATGTTTTATTTGATATTTAGTTGCTTGCATATACTTTACTGTGGGCATTTTTTTTATTCTGCAAAACAAACCCCTTGACATAAAACCTGAGAAACAAATATCTTGGCCAGCCTCTGTCATTTTGACCCCTTTTTAGCCTGTGACTCATCTGTCTCTTGGCTCTCCCCTGTGTCTGCCTCTCCAGGCTCTGGCTCTGGTTTGGGCTAGCTTGGTTTGTCTTAGTGAAGGTTTTGGGTTCTCACTCAGGAAGTTTAAGGTTCTTAGTAGGATTCTGGCAGCAGTTTGGCCAGAATGCTGGGTGGAGGGAAGCTGGGGGTGTCAGTTTACCAGCTACACTCCAGCAAACAGCAAATCTCCCAGAAGCTTTCTGCAGAAGTTGTCTCACAAAGATAGGTTGATTAGGCACATGAAGATGTGGAGCTTGAGGTATCTGTGCCAGTAGAGTGTGTGGACTGCTCATGGAACAAGTAGACTTGTATGGCTACAGCTGGTTTGGCTCCTGAGGGACAATTAATAACATTTGCTGGCACAGCTTATCTGTCCCAGGTGAAGGTTTCTAGCAATCTCCTACTTAAGCCATCAAATCTTTGATGGAACTTCTTAGCAGAATGCAATGTAGTGCTAATCTCTGACAGTGGGAAATGTCATTAAAATTAAAACTGGTAATTTGCAGAATACCATTAAATTCCTAAAATTAAAAAATATTTGCTTATCAGCCATAAAAATTCTTCACTATGGAGTATCAGAGCAGAAGACTGTTTGGATTATAACCACAAGTTCATTACTTGCATATGTAAAGAATGCACTGAAGGAATATTGGCCTACTCACGTTTGATCATCACGGTATTATCATCATTAAATTCCACCTGCCTCTTCCATTGTACTGCACAGATGCATTAACACTTTACATCTAAATACTCTAACCATCTTCAAATTTCTGCAAAATAATTTATTCATCTTATAACACAAAGGTCTGGTAGTTTATATTCAACAAAATTAGTTAGTCCAGATGTGAGACAGCATGTAATTAAGTGGTTCTGTTCTCTTGTGGAAATTAAGGTTTTGTGCTTTAAATTGCTAAAATTTTATTCAAGACTGGTGTGACTGTGGTTTCAAATAATCATAGTAATAAATTTCTTCTGATGTTTTTAGTAGAAGTCTAATGGTGTGTTCAAGCATACAGTAAGGAGTTAAATTTATATGCAAGACAGATTTCTGACTGGGCATGCTTGAGGAAACATTTGGCATGCATTTCAGTTCCAGTTAACACTTGGACTATTTGGGGAGTAAAATTGGTGCAATAAATGAATGGGAGATCTGTTTGTGCACCCCATGATGTAAACTGGGAACAGTGGCACTTGTATCAACGAAGCTGTTGCACATAAGGAACTCATTTATTATTTTGCAATGAAAACATGTCAATAGAGACCTGATCTGATGGAAATAATGACTGACTACATTCCTAGAATTATCCTAAGCAGAACTGTTGGCCTTCAGGAGACCTCCATCTTATAGCAATGTCAGGAGGGCTTTGATTTATCTGTGGCACATCTGTTGGAATAATTTCCATGTAGGTATACTCCTTGTTCCTTTACTGAAACAGCAGCAATCTTCTGCAAGCAACTTATTGATCAGTGTCATCTGATGCTGTGCCTAGCTGGTTAAAGTTAACAGGTTTAGTATTTTTTTATAGACTTACTTCTGAGTGGATTGTCGCCAATTAGTTATGAGTCATTTATATAGTCTCTTTTTCATGGGTTTATGAAAACATGTTACTTCATCACTGTGGCAGATGTCAGATTTAAAAATACCTTAGACATTTATTTGCTATAAATATGTAGTTGATTGTTTTAATCAACAGTGGAGATCTGTAATTTAATTAGATTTGGGAAATAGTAAAAAGGTATACAAAAGGGATTTTTCTGTATTTGGACTGCAATTTTTTACTTACTATCTTTTGCTGGTTTATTTTTCTTGGTTATCAGGCTAAGTTATTGTAACAAGTACAGTTAATATTAATGAAGACCTCCTTGAGCTTTTCATGCTGGGCTGTTACCATTTGGTTGGGATCTGTGGTATTTTCCTTGGCAACTACTCTTGGGACAATTGCTGCTGTTTTTTCTTCCTGAGCAGTGTTGTGTCTTCTTCTCTATTGGTGTGTACTGGTTGAGTCTAAATGGGGGTGTGATGTTTGTCCCTGGCAGCTGAGGTTGTGGCGCTTCACTTAATTCTCCCATGGCTTTGTGTCTTCTGCTGTTGTATTGAAATTCAGAGGCAGGAATGTGGAGCACCCAACAAAAACATTCTGTTTGGAGATGCTAGTGAGTGCCCTGAGATGTAGGGGAAATATTCTCTTTATTAAGCCCCTCAAATTGTTAATGCATAAGTGACTCCTCCAGCACTGGACATTTTATAGAAGTTCAGGGCTGCTGGACTGTTGAGCTGTAAAAAAACCTAAACCACCCATCTCTGAAAAACTGAGGCAAGAGACTTGATCATTTGGCAGGTCAAAAGAGGAACTGTGATTTATACTGGCAGATTATGTTCAATAAAAAGGGGGGGGGGGGGGAGGTCCAATTATTACTTTGATAGTTAAAAAAAAAAATCACTTGTTCTTAAGCAAACTCACTGAGTTAATACAACATAGTTAAAACTGTTGAGCTAATAATTAATATATCTGGTTCTTGAAACTCTTATGATTGCAGGCACATAAGAACAGCAGAGTTAAAATTATGCTTTAGCCTTATTTGTGCAAGCCTGCCTTCTGTGGCTTACTCAGACTGTAGCAAGAGTAATTTTTTTTTTTTTTTTTGTGGTTTTAGTTTGAGTGGCTTTCCCTGTGTCTGAACTCGTATGTTTCCCTCTTATTTTAGGACTTTTCCATAAAACTCGCATGCATGCACATAGCACCTTTTTCATATAATGCTTATTTTAGTTAAGAATATTAAAAGGAAAATAGAAATAAAATACCTTTCTTATATCCTTGGATTGCATTTCATAATCTTGTTGGGTGAGGCTTCTCATGGAAACATCTGTATCATACTCATAAAACTGGAGTGATTCTTGCTTTAGAGGTGGTGCTGGATTAACCAAAGGTACAAACACAAACAAAAAAAAAGTAGCCTGCAAAATCTCCATTCTTGCCCAGAACGATGTACGTGGTTTTCAGTGATCTGAAAGATCTGCTCGTGCCTGGACTCTGGAGAACACTTTCTTTGGGACTGGAAATGAAAATGCAATCTGTCAAAACGATATTTAAAGCCTAGAGTACTTGTTGGCAGTAGTTTCTAATACATAAGGAACATGGAACAACTTTTAACTCTTGGTATCCTTTAATTAGACTCTAACTTTATAAAGCCTATTCCTAACATGAGAAGAAACTGGGAAATAATAAAGATTTTATAACAAATAAGGAAAATATTCTCTTAATTGCATTTGTTTGTTTCTCAGTCTGTTATTTTTTGTTAAAAGCAAGATGATTTGGTTGCTATTAAATATTTGGTATAGATATAGATTAAGTTATTAAAATATGTGAGCTTCAAATGCATTTTTATTGTCAAAATAAGAGTTTTCAAATCTAAATATTCTATAACAAAAGCCTCTCATTGTCTTTTACTTTACATGTGAAACTAAACAAGAGAAGATTACTTAATACCCTCAGAATATTATACAGGTTGGGCACTTTTCAGGTAGGAAACTGGAAGAGGCTGAAAGCATGATCTTTGAAACATTGCAAATATGCATGTACTATTTTTAAAAATAAATCTTTGCACAGCATTTTTCTCCTCTTTACTGTAGTTTTATTTAAGCTCTAAATTAATCTACTTTTAGGAAAAAAGTCCACCTACCTTTTTAGCAGATTCCAAGCTCTTCACTGAAAAACCTGATATCCTTATCTATAGTTACTCTTTTGTCAGTGTATTTTAGGTTCAAGTTATGCATTACATCCAAATTGTTGAACTGAATACTCTCTTAAAGTTTGACAGTCTGAGAAGTGCTTTCCATGGGGTAAAAATGCTTTGCCAGCATTCTCTCCCAGAGTGAGAGGTAATATCCTGGAGCAGGGGGTTGTACTCTGCATAACATTTGCAAATGCTAAGCCTGTGTAGCTCATCCTACTTTTGGTGCTCCTTGTAAAAATGGCAGCTTTCTGCTTTGTGATGATGTGCTCTTTATATCTGCTAAGGCTCTTTCTGTAAATCAAATATTAATTGTGCAAACTGGATGTCTCTAATAATGCATGTGTTATCCATTTTGTGAAATGCTTCAGCCTAGAGACAAAGCAGCTGCTTTCTGAGACAGAGGTAGAGCCAAAACACACGTCCGTTGTATTAGTCACATTTTGTGAATAGTAAAATGTTTTATTACATGTTTAGAGAAATTTTACTTATCTATGAAATGGAAACTTTTCAGTCTGAGGACTTCTGGAAAAACATTTTTTGGAATTTCTTGTGTTTGTGTTGAGATATTCAGACAATCAATGTCTAAATCCTTCATTAACTGACTTATTAGACAGTTTATTGAAAAATGGATTTCACAAAAAATACTTTCTTTGAATAAAGTTCTGATTCAGTTTTACAGATAACTCAGTGAGCACTGTCCAAGTGTAGAATTTCCATCTGAACTATGAGCAGCAATTTTCTAGATTTGTAATGCATTTCTTCCTCCCCCATCCTTTTCCTCATTATGAATTTTTGGCAGTCAGCACAAATGGGAGACAGACCCACTTTGAAAGTTTATAGAGTAGCTTTCTCAAGTCTTTAAAAAGTATGTAGCAATAAAATTTAGTGGGAATATATCCAGATTTACATTTCTCTTTTATTGTTATACCTTTTTTTCTTTTTTTTTTTTTTCCTAGATTAATGCTGATGATAAACTGGACCTTTTGGTTAAGTTTTCTTTTAAATGCTGCCTTGTTTAGCAGCCAAATATCTGTAGGAAATCTGAAGAATGACTACAGCCAGTTGCTGTCTAAAATCTTTTTGGGTTTATAATACCACCAGTTTCTGAACTCATTTGGATTATATAAAAATGTTTGTAGCTTTGTTCATATGCAGATTTAACAGTGTGATAGTTTGGACTTGAAGCTTGCTCTAGGATAATACCATGATGATAAAATGGACATGTGAGGAAAGAGGCTCAGTAATAATGGAAATTGGGCCCTGAATCCCATTGGATGCTACTCTGCTGGATCAATGACACCAGGAGTTTGGAAGTGGTTAAACTGCACTGTCAGTGCCATCTTAGCATCCCTCCTGCCTTCGTGCATGTCTGGGAAGTAATGACATAGCTCTGCTTTGTACTTACCCTTTCCAGCTGCCACCCATCTGCCAAACATCCATATTAGGATTTCCTCTGTCTCTGGGGCATCCAAATGTTTCCAGTGCTTGAATGTAATCAAAGGATAACTATTCTAAGGGGAAAAAAAAAAAAAAAAGGTTAATATTTTGAAGCTGAAAGCAAGATATAAAATAGTAAATATATTTATTATAGTGTTATGATAATTTATTTTGTAAGTACTGAAATCCTAGATTTCACAGCTACATAGACGGTCTTAGGAATAGTTTTATCTTTTACTTACATATGACGGCTTTTTAAAATGGGGGAAAACTAATGGATAAATGAGGCCTTGAAAATGTAGGTAGTCTTCATTCAAGGAAACATTTGTTTTGATCTGCAAGAGAAGAGGCTCTGAATTTTCAGACAACTTCAGGAACAGCTTCTGCACAAAATGTGAAAAGTCTGTGTTCATCAGGGTCACAAGATTTTGGTTCTAGCTTATCACAAAAAGGTTGTCGTGTGTGTACTCACTGTAATAGAGGCACTTCTCAGAAGCTCATTAATACTTCCTTACAAATACATTCAAAGAGGGAGATGTTAAGTAGTTTTTTTGGCATGATGCCATCAAGGAGTAGCTCACAGTGCCAAATAAAATAGTAACCTTATTCCATAGTTTGTCGGCATTGTCATGAAAGAAGAAAATATATCAGCAAATAATGTCAGATAAAAACAGTTTTTATCTGAACATGTACCAGATGCTCAGATCAGCACAAGGATGAGGGTGGTACAGGTGACTGCAAACAAGGAAGGGGAAGTATTGCTTCCTTCAACTCAGAGTGACTAGAAATAACCACAATATCCAAATCATGTGAGATGAAATATGTGGTTCATATGCATTGGCAGTAGGGGAGCTGACAGGAAATACCCTGACGAGCAGAGAATGCTTTCTGGGCACTGTTAGTGCTTAGAAATTGGATGTATAAGTGTCTTTTGCTTGGACTCTTGTTACAAGGATTGATATAATTGGAAGGCGCTTTCTTTCCTGGAAACCTAAGCCTGCTGTGTTGTTAACTCATTAAGCTCCAGTTTTTGAAGAGGACCTTAATAATGTGTCCATGGTGTGGTTTTTTTTTTTTCCCCCATGATATCTCATTTGCTCTGACTGATTTCCCAATGAAATACTTTCAGCTGGATTGTTAGGCATTTTAAAAGGTTATTTTTCCTAATTTTGTTGACAGGGAATTGTGGCTTAAATTTGAACAGTAGTCATTTCCCTGTCATTTTGTAAGGATATTAAGTTGTAGCTGAAGGTGTAAATGAACCACAAGACTTCTTTTCTTGTAGTGGATAGAACCCAAGCCAGATTAATGGGATTGAGTTCTGGTCTCTGCATTCTGATATCAGGAAAACTTAGCTTTAGGTGAAAAGGGTTGCATACAGAATAGGTGTAAAATTGGTTCCCCAAGGTTTTCTTCTGTCATGTTAGACAACAAATAACAGGAATGAAAAAGTGAGAAGTTGGATGGGTGTGGATGACAGAGGTAGAAAAAAACATAGGAGATCAAGACAGAAATGAGGGTAACTACCCAAACAATACATGTTGATGACTAAATCTTCAGCATCTGGGAAAGAATCTAGTATTTAGTTTATATGTCAATACAGAGTGGGGTAGACTTTCATCTGTGCAGGACAGGTTGGAAATGACTTCTCCAGGTGCCTGTAGGAATTAAAAGGGGCAGGAGCTGGCACTGCCTACATAAAGACTTGAGATCATGAAATGGGAGGCAGACCACTGGATAAAGAAAAATGGGGAGGAAAAAACATAGGGGTGCAGGGGTTAATAAGGCTGTGAGGCAGCACTAGGGAGAGTCCCATAAAGTTGCTCCAAGATATTTCTTATGAAATAAACCAAAGCTGAGATTCTTTTCAATCACTCAGGCTTGTTCTATGTTTAGACGGAGGAAGTGTATTTTGCAGCTGCTCAAACACCTTGGCTTTCATCGTGTATTACAATCTCTAAAGGATGATACTGGCAACTTCTGCCATTTCTGAGTTTTACTATATATAAATGTTCTTGAAAAAAAGTACTATGGATTATTGCTCAGCTGACCTGTGCTTATGGTGGTGCTGGGAATCCCTTACACAGAATGCTCACAGTCAGTGTCTTCTCTTGGCCAGACATCTGTGTAGAAAAAAAATGAGATGAGGACAAATTAGGAAAGCTTTTAAAGATTCTTGGCTATTTCTAGACCTGGGCACAATGCTGGATTTTCTTTTGTGTGTGATATTTCTGCTTCATGTGGAAAGTAACATTTTGGAGGTTCCTTGGCATAACTTGTGTGGAGTATGATTTAAACACCTCACAATATTGACCAGCTGTTCTGGATGGGAGTAATTATAATAGAAAAGGTTTTATGGAGGAAAAGACAGTTATTGCACCAGGTTGGTAACATGTACATAATAATCTGCAAGCAGTGAGAGATTGACTGTTAAAGGGCAAAAACATTAAGTGATGTTAGAACTGAACTCGATGGTTCTGTTTGTATTTTCTCCTTTCTTAACCTAAAAGAAATAACATTTTGGAATGGTTCTCTACACAAGTTTTATTTTCTAAAACACAGGCTTTTCTTTTGATATTTATATGGGATTAATTCCACTCTCTAAAACTACTTTTAACTCTTTGCTGCTGCATAAATGCATGATATGAAACTTCTCAGATGCCTTCATTCCTTTCTGCTTTTTTTTAAGGTCCTGGTAGTGGGTGTTTTAAAGCAGTTTAATGCCAGTAATGATGATGGAGTTGCATTTATTCTGGGAACTAAAAGTATCACGGAAGCAGGAGCAATCTCCTGGTTTCTTTGCTGGCTTGAGAACTGAAGGTGGTGCTATAGAAGAGTCGTGTAAAGCAAAGTCAGTTCAAACCCAGCATCCTTGAGGGATAGAGGGGGGTTCATTTAGTATTAAATGTAAAACAAATGTCATCATGTCCTAGAGAAAACATAGAACATTCTTTAATATTCAAAATCACTGAACCAAAGAAGTGTCTGAAATGAAATAGTTATGCATAAATACCTCCAGATTTTTATGAAAAGTTGCAACTATTTCCAAGGCTCAGTGAATTAAAACAGTTTAGGTCACTGTTAGGGCCACCAGCTGCAAAATGAAGACAACTGAAAAATGACCTAGTGATTGTATGAACATCCTTCCATATGTTTCTGGTTTATAATCAGAATTTTTTAAGGCTGAAGACATTACCTTTATTTCTTGCATTTCTGGAAAAGATAACATTTTGTCACTTTATTTTAAATTAATAAAGCGCATTGCAAAAATCATGCATAATATTAAACAGAAATCAAACTATGGTTAATAAATACAAATGATAACCAGAGTAACAGTGCTGTCTATTTACCCAGACCCCTCTGTTGAACACATGCTCTCCTGAGCTTTGGTATGTGATATCAGCTATATCCTGAAACAAAAGCCAACCTACTGCAATTTATTACAATTTCTTAGAATTTCTTCCAGAATTGGCATTACTTCCTTATGACAATACCATCATTTGTTGAGAGCTGTTACTATGTCCACAGGGACATTTGAACCAGGGTTCCAAGAATGGTTGGCTTTATCCATATTTTACTTCAGTGTTGCAGGCATTTGTTCCTTGTGTTGTTCATAGCATCTGCTTTACTCTCTGTGTTCATGGCTCATCTTCACATTTATCTGTTTTCCTTGTGTTCTACTT